GAATGGGACCCATCTAACCAGACGCGCAGACGTAGCGGCTGGAAGTACTTCGAGAGACAAGGTTGACTACCACCCGAAGCGAACGAATCGACAATTACAGCCCGACAGACAATCCGCAGCTAGCCAGAAAGATATACACCGAATGCCACTACATCGGAGCCGTCGATCGACGTATCTCTATGATCGGGTCAAACCAACCGGAACGGCACGCGGAAGAAGAGGCAACGTACGTGCCAAGTGTGGACCAAAACCAGCAGGGATTGACCAACAGAAAGGGGCATGAATCATCCTGCAGCGCGGTTAAGAATTGAATGTATATAACTGAATGCTACACAATGAACAAGGAAAACTCAATAGAAGATGCCATGGCTCGTAATCTGAACAGGCTCTCAGGAGAATACTTCTTCCGCAGAGTGTACGATGCGGGTCAGGGGTGAAGCTAACGGTTAGTTTTACAGTAAATAAAAATGGTTCAGTGGCCAGAAGTGCTAATCGGAGCTTATTTAGGAACATGAAGTAGATTGGGATTACTTACAAACATGCCATCGAGCTAAGCTAATCGCACAAAGTTATCCCGAATGTAAAGGAGCGAATGCTACTTCACCGAGTCAGTCTATGGGAATTCGGTTTAGTCCAGTCAGCATCCGTCGAACTGGTACACTTCATCATACTTACAGACTGTACTTGTCTCTTGACATCGTTTAAGTTTTGTACATTAAAAGACCTTTCACTAGAGTAGGATGGAAAACATCATGCGGTAGAGAATCACAGTTATCCAAATCTAGGACGACAAACTCTCAATAATGCATAATACTACAATGCAGTAAATCGTTTGAGTTTTAACTGTTGCCGCATTTTCCCGACCGGAGTGGAAATTGAAAGTCCATCAGACACGGGAGTGAAGAAAATCGGCAAAAAGGGTCCATTGCGCCGCTTGTAAAATGCAAACGTGGAGGTGGAAACGAGCAGTTAGTCGGGATTAAAACGTGACCACGGATAGGTAATCTCTCTTGGTTGCTGATAACCAACTATCCGATGAAAAAATAAAGCTTAGTGTCCTTCCGATTCGCAGAGACAGAATGTTCTATAAGTTTGGCTAACTTGTTACTGGAGGCGTTGTTCTTGTAAGGAAAACCATTCTTCATGCAAGCATGTTTAAAATGTGTATAGTTGGCGAATTGTTTAGCTGCTAACACAGATGACATGCAAATTCACACCCCAAATATCTCGCAGCCTAGGTTCTTTCGTCAATCTCGACACGATTAATTCAACAATGATCCAATATATCCCGTGTGTGGTGGTGTGTTCGTTGGTTTGCCGTTTCAGACCAATCATTGGGTTCGAATGCCCAATTGCGATCAATGCACCAATAGGTGCTCGCGCGCGTGCGTGCGTTTGGTTGCTGGTACCGGATTGGTCAGCCAAGCGAGAGCTGACTGACTACACAAGTGGAAATCGATCGATATGACGTCCAAATGAGAAGGTACACGGGAGTACATATGCGCACATGTGTGTATACGTGTGAATTTAAACCGGGACAAATGTGTGTCATTGGCACAATGCTGTTGAGGTTAACGTAAGGATTGGTGCAAAATCTGAATGCAGCCTGACTTAGTTGACAATGGATAATCTGAAGGCGTTTTTTACGGTAAGTCGAACGATTATGGATGGACAAGAGTATCCGTTACGAATACAAATATTTTCCGTTGTAAAATTCGTCTTGCATAGAGTTTTGCATCTGTTGGAGAATACAGCTAGATTACCACAAAAGAAATGCTTAAAATTTGAACAATATTCCTAAGAAGTACTAAAATGCAAGCAATTTATTGAAATAATCTGTATATTACTAGGTTCATCAAAGTTTAGTTTTGGCTTATTACAAAAGAGGAAGTATAGCAGAAGACTATCAGTGATTGGTAGGCTATTTTCTGGGTTCCTTCAAGTTACTCTAGATAGCGTGTTTTATGAGAAGAAGCATCTAACACAGTTGATTGATCAGCTACGCTTCCTATAATTTGGGAAGTGAAAAGATTTTTCATTTCTCACCATCAAAAGAGGAATGAATCCACCCAGATTATGGGTTAAATTTTGGAGAAAATATCACAGATTATTGATAGTCGGTGCAAATCCATTTACACGAACGTGCTTCAGCATTGCGAACTCCGTGCAATGGCGGAGGTGGTTATAAGTTCGAATTCCGCCACTATCTTTATCATTTCTGTATTATCCCAGAAAACCCTTTTCTGAAAGTTGAGTGTCCATTTGCATAGTCAATGAAATAAAAAAAGGAAGCAAAACATTCATAAATCAAGAGATAAAGGTTTGTTAGTGATTAGTGCTATTTTTTGATAAATGTATGGGAAAATCCAACACTCAGAGGAAACATTCCGGTGCTTGTCTGATAGCACCCTAAACGAATAAAAGCGGTCGTACCAAGCCATATGGCGGTCACCTTTCTGGAAGATGGGGCATCCGTGGGTCTTACAGAAACAATAGGACTTATTTTTATTTTCAGAAAATTGTGGGTATTCGATTCGAATCGATCACAACTTGACCAAAATTCCCAAGTTCAGTTTGCCACTATTTATCTACTCAGCATGAAGTGATGAGGATATTTATTTATATTTCATGCAATTGTATAGATATTTAGGGTGCTATATGATGTGAAAATCCGTCACACTCGGCTTGATTGAGTGGAAAACATCTAATTGGCATACATTTTCTTCAGAAAATTTGGAGAAGCTTTCTGAATGAGTTCCAGAACATTGGCGAACTTTTAGTTCGACGGAATCGCTTTCTTTTATGCAGATTAGGATTTACGGTTCCTTTTTCCTAAATCAAGCTTTCTTAGCTAATTGCTGTCGTGTAACTTATCGTTGTTCGGATGTGTTTCTGTTTGAAAAATTGGTAGTCAATGGTAATTCCGGAGTTTATTCTCCTTCCACCTTTGTGGTAAAAGTCAATAATACTTCGATCGCAGATTGAAATTGAATGCCATACACACATACACGCACACACACACACACTTGCTCATCATATAAAGTGATCTTTTTGAAACCTCACCCACTAATTGTTGTGTATATAAACACACGAATTGAAAAAAGACGATACACAATACAATTAACAAGTATAAACGAGGTGGCAAGCATAAACCGGACGGTGTATTGCGGAAATAAATGGTTCAGAGATGGTGATTGGCTGGAAGAAAACAGACCAGGAAAACTTTCAATGGCCGCAACTTTCCCAATGAATATATTTGTAAAACTGTTAATTCGATAAAATAAAGTAACAACCAATTCTATGCTGCATTGTTGGTTATTGTCGCTGATAGTGCGCAAATATTAAGTTCCCGGGTCGGGTCGTAGCGCAAGCGGCCCATGCAAACTGCGGAGAGAGAGCGGGTTCTGAGCTGTTTTTAGAATAGGAATTTTGATGCATGCATGTATTTTCCGTTTCATATCTCTGCAGGATGAACATTCGGGGAGTAAACCATACAAGCACAAAGATTTACTGTTCTTTTTGGCCGCTGGCAGCCTCGAAACCTGGAGTGCTGAGCCACATTAGGCTTCAACAGGTTAGTTGCGGGATTGAGCTGAACAACAGTAAATCTGTCCACCACAAAAGTTGACTAGCAGTGGCAGGGTTTAAACTTCGCTACTCAGGTCCCGACGAGCAGTAGCGACAACGGATTAAACCGCTTCACCACAACTAAAATCACCACTGGAAGTACAGTTATCAGTGGCCGTGAGAGTACCTGCTGATAGTTACAAATCTTCAGTATGATCCAATCTGTGTCTGCAGGAATTTGGGAACCAATTGCTGTGAGTTAGGGAATTTCGTTTTTACTGTAAACGTACATCTGGAGAGGCAAGTGCAAATTCGCAACCATGAAATTCATCAGACATTCAAACTCGTGCGGCGTTGCACTTGAACCCCCGAATAAACTTTCCATTTAATTTTACTTCCCCTTATTGAATACATACAACGAGACAATTCTAAGGAACGGGGGAGGGAAGCGGACAATCAAAGGTCTGCCATACAACGCACAGTGGGGTAAGTCAGGCAGTGGGGAGGGGGACGGGGGAGGGATTCGAACACACATCCTCCCGGGGGTGATAATCTAGTGATATTACCAATGGGTCAACACCGAAAATCCCGGTGATTTATCTAGGTGTGCAATAGGTAATCTTCCCTTATTTTCTTCCGGAGCGAGTTCAACCATGGTACCTTGAACTATTGAATCCAGTTTACCATATAATGAAATGAGCTGAGTGAATAGAAGTTCAGATCGAAAAATGAATGGAAAGGGGAAAAGGTGGGAGGCTGAATTCAATTTGGGGGATATATTCAGTTTAATTAATGGTGGACATCCTCCATGATATCGATATTCTAAATTTTTGATTATGGTGTGCAATGAGATTTGATGTTTCAAAATGAAGGAGAAGAAATTACCTGTTCAGTTGCATCTGTTAGTAGCTCGGTAAACCAGTGTTTATTGTTCCTTTAAACTGTAGATGAGATCATCACAGCAGAGTGAAAGTTTCATTATGCTAGAAGCTAAAGATGTATATTTAAAACATTATTCCTGTGGGATAAGTATCACATAGAGGTATTTAGAAGTTTGGTAATTGAGTTTTCACTGAACCTCAACCAATGATAACAGTCTGAGCCGATTCTAGCGCACAATAAACCCTCACAAAATACTTCGTTCTGGTTTTTAGAATCTATCAAAAACCGGTCGGAAACCACTAGCCGAACAGAAATCAGCTTCAAATGTTGATCTTCCATCCGCAGTTCTGCCAGAGAAATCGATTTTGAGATCGACCAAACCGGAAGAACGTCCACACGAGGTCCGATTCCAGACCACAGAAGCAGTTCCAGATAAAAGAGAACTGGTCGAGCCAAATACCGACCAGGGGTCCGCGAAGCTCACACCACAACTGACACGTCTGATAGACCAAATACGAAATCGAACGGTTCGTACTGGGAACGAAACGGAAGACCAAGATGACATCAAGCAGCGATTATCCCGATCGATGAACAATTTGGACAATCTAAGTCAACAGTTAATTCCGAAGAACGGTGATATTACAGAGCAGCAGATTCCAATCAATAATCCACTGAGCCGGACTCATTCAGAGGGACAGAACGTGAAAGCAGAGACCCCGCCGATTTCCGAACAAATAGCACGAGTTGTGACGGAAGAACCGGTTGAAACGACAAGCGTTCAAAAGATGGAACAGTCTCAGACGGATCGAGACAAAACAGAAGCAACAGCAGTGTTTTCAAATCAACAAACTCATTTTTCCAACCGTACTGGTGCGTTACTTATACATACACCCTCTTCCTGTAATCACCCAGGACTTTTTTTGTTTTCAAACTCACTAATTGCATTATTGTATTGAAAAAATGAGGGAGAGCATAATATTGTATGAAATCAGACGAAGGTGAAACACACTCTCAAACAACAGTTTATGAACTGAACACGGCTTTCGATGTTGGAGCATCTCGTTGGATTGACCGATCTCCACTTTGTTGCTTTTTGATGAAAAACCGATTGCCTCGAGTTAGCTGTGCGGAAGTTCACAACTTTTGTGAACAATTCGCGAATCCCGTGGTTCAGTGGTTGATTGTATTTGGCAGAATGAAAAAGATCGGAACGAATTTTGTACAATCAGCGATTCTCATAGAGACCGACTTGTCTACAGGTTTTTTCCTTCATTGTGTTCAACGATCGATCGATTTGAGTACGTGCTGTCACCAGCCCGACTGACGATCGATTGATTTTAAATCGCTGCAATCGGGTTGGATAGTTCAGAATTGGTTATTCAACTACTTTTCTTGCTTCTTCCTGCCTGAAACCAACCAGTACTCGGTTCCACCGAGTTTGGGGTTTTTCAGTCGTGCATGTCAAGCCTAATTGTCAGTTTTAATTGAATAGGATCCTGCAAAAGGGAAATAAAGTGACATGCACATTAATGTGCAAAACTGCATCAAACCAGAAGCAACAAGAGCGCGTTACAGTTAGAACCCTTCTTTCATCCCGATAGTGCAGCATATTTGGTAATTTATTCACCGTGTATCGTCACAAAAATACCGATGATAAACCTTAAAATCTACTTTGAGCCGTCTAGTTCTTATCAGGAAGCGCCAGTCAATCATTAAACCCGAACGTGCACAGTTGAGATCTCCACGTTTTTCTTTTAGACTATCCGAGCCGGTTCCAAGGTGTAGTTTGGTTCCATGATGTGTTGCCAAACAGAGGGAGTCAATTTCTATACTCATACACCGTTAATCAATATCAAGTACGGAAATCGATGGATGATCAACTTTGACGGGCCAGCCTGGTTAGACTGATTGTAAAGTGTGGGGCTCCAAATCATGCAGAAAAACAGTTAGACCTATGACCCAAGGTTTTCCCAATACACATTCATGGTGTATCTTAATACTGTGGATGTATAGCAAAAGATATCTAGGTTTTGAACACGTTGGTCCACTAACAGACTGATAACAAAGGGCTCTGCTGTCACTCATTTTTATTACAATGACAATTTACACAAATCAATCCAGTGATTCAGGACTTGTCGAGTAGATTGGAATAACAAATGAGAAGGTTAACATTGAATACTCGAAATTGAATTTCGAATAAGCAATATGTACAAATAATGCTTACACCGCACATCGCACAAGTGGTAAAATCTGGGCAAGTAACGTCCTATGACATATCTACTCATCACACCCTGGTGCACGTGTTCTCATTAATCTGTATCTTGAACATCACAGTGAAAGGAAATGATACAATTTAATATCAATATCCGCTATACCGTAAGTTCTACGGTGAAGACAGGCCGTATAATTGAGTTCAAACATTAAGACGGTCTTCTATCAATCAACAATTTGAAATATATAAATGATAAACCACACCAATAACAGTTTGGTAGCTTGGATAAATCAGACTGATAGCTGTATACGATCGAGCGCGTCCCCAGGTCGCGGACAGGGGATTGACTGCCGACTCGCGGTTAACCGTGAATAAGGTAGGTTTATTCTCACTAAATAAGCGGTCGCGGACGGTTAACGGCAGTGCGCTCGGATGTAGTGGGTTTACCACTTGACAAGGGTTCTCCGTAAAAAACATCACATCACGCTTTGACATGGAGAGTGTGATCCACCGTTGAATGTGGCCATCAAGCCCTTACCGAGTTCCATCTAATCGGCAAGCTTTTCGAGAAGAGGTGAATAAATAGGCCACCCGCTCATTTGGAACAGCGCTACTTTTCTTGATTGCGCAGAAACTATAATACACTCTGAAACAAGGCCTACTCGGGGTTGAGCGAGAGAGTAGTACAACAGCCTAAATCGCATACAAAATATGACCTATGAACTTTCTCTTACTAACAAATTTGCCCTCACAGCTTTATTCACTCATAGAAACTGTTATACATCGTGCTCATCTTCAAGTAGATCAATTTGTCCTCCATCTCACACCCATCCACCCCTTCACATATTTCCAAGTTCATCTTGGTCTTCAGATGATCCTTATTACAGTTATACCTCAGATGGAAATCCTACTCCTATTCTCTCGCGTCCTGTCTCGACTAGCATTCAAGTCTCACAGAACCATTTTTTCCACAGGCGTGTAGGATAACAGGCATGTTTGGCTCACACCCTCGAGACCCTAGCCATCGATGTGTGTTGTGTCCAAGAAACTCGATTTCACGGCTCCAGCTTCACCATCCGGTTGAACTCCCCTGCAAAGCGTAATACGAAGTTTCACTTACACCTTTCTGAGGACCCTGGGGCTGTCTTTGACGTCGCTTTCACTAAGAGAGAGAGAGAGCTGAAGCCGACCTCCTAGACTGAATCCCGGTCGACAATGGGTTGTGAGCCGTGAGACTTAGAGGTTTGTGCAAAGTGAGCCTAACTCTCTTTCAAAAAGCGCCATCAGAAAAGCTAGAATTAATCCCACCTGATAACATCAATCAGAACTGGTCGCTTATCGAGTAGCCTCTGTGTTCTGATGAAGTTGATAACTGCTAACCTGAGCGAACGTGATTTGAATGCATGTGAAAAGTTTGCATATTAGATTCGTGTGGACTCCACACACATCCATATTGCACACAGATTTAACTTCCTGTTATTCCATTCCAGTCAACTAGATCCCCAAACCGTTGTGTTCTCTCTCGCATGAGCATATATCATGACTCCACGTTATCCTCTTTATCACATATTATAGTTCATTAAAAACAGGGTTTTACAAATTTTGGCAAACGTTTCTGGACTTAACATTTTCCCCTCCTGTCTTTTTTTCTATACTGTGTACACAATCGATTCGACATACGCTTTACGCCTACAGAAGTTATAATTACAATTGCAATTACAACCTGCACCAATTAGGTATGATTGAACTTCATCACCACCCCACTTGATGCACTAGAATCTTTCAGTTTGTCGCGCCCAGGGTCAACCTTCTTATAATCTATGTTTCCCTGTATATAAAGTGATAATATAACCAATTGAAAAAAAAACTAAAATAATATCTGATTAGTGCTCTAATTTCCTGTGCAAATTTGACGATATTGAAGCCACGAAGAACAGGGATTAGATTACCTAAGATCACTAGCTCATTTCCACTGAACCATAAATCACTGACAACAAATGCGCTTCACGAAGCATTTTGAAGCTCAGTCTAATTGCACTCATGAACTCATGCGCTCAAAATGACACGGCAAATAGGACACTGCACCCCCAATCCCCGAAACAAATGTTTGTCCAGTAGGATTTGCTAGTGTTATGCAAGTTTTCACACACACACACGTGCTCTTGCTCTTCTACCTTCACATCTCGGGGGATACTTTATTGTACATACAAAAACTGCTTAATAATTGGACACCTATTCAGTTGAGATTAAAATTTGCATGGGGATTTTTCTCACTGTGGCTTATTCTGCGACCTCAAGAGAAAAAGTTTCAGACTAACGGGCATAGAAGAGTTTAATAAATCTCTTCAGATCGGAGCTAATCCCTCAAGGTACGGTCCTTGGTAGGTAGATCTGTCAGGATCCACGGGAGTGCAGTGGATAGAAATGAAGCTTTACAGTTGATTTTAGCTATTTTCTAATGTTTGAATATCCAGCGTTCGAAAAACAGACTATCATTATATAGACCCCAAACTTGAGGGATTGAAAGAAAAATCACCCTCCTCTTCTGAATGACTATAAAAATCAAATTTTAATTCGATTTTACAGCGTATGGATGATATTTCACAACGTTTGTAACTAACGTTTTACCCTAATTCTCGCTCTTAAAGTAGCGCTGGAGAATTAAACATAAACATAAAAGACAACCCGAAGTACCTTTTTATGTGCAATCGTTTTGGATCACACATCAGAAACAGCAAACATTGGATTCAGAACAAAATTCTTTCCCGTAGACACAGTAAAAATGTGTACAAGTCCCGGTAGCGAACAAACAAACGATACAAGGCAAATCAATTCAAGTCAATTCAACCCGGGTGAGTAGAGATTTGGAGTCTATTAGCGGGTGAACTACTAGTTTACTTCGTGGGAGTTCAGTTGCTCCTTGGTTAGTTCTCCGCACTCCTGATATAGAAACTAACAAAAAATGCCGATCGTGAATTTCTATGGAATCGGAAAAAAATATTGTCAATTCAAACTCTTTCGGGGTTGAGGAACTGCTTACTCGAGAGTTCTTGGTTTGACTTTGACCTGGGACACAACAGTCATACGCACTACTGGCAAGTCCTAACAAGGATGGAAAAGCCGTCTAGTGACTGCTGGTAGCGTTCACAATTGACTGATGATTTGAACGATGTCTAAGTTTCCTGTGCGGCACGTGACTGAAAATCAAGAGCGTTTTTATCAAACACATTCAACTATATGATCGTGTATAAATAGCTAATCTTCGTCGAAAACTGTCCCTAAATATTCTGATGAGAATTCCCTTAGTGGATAGTGCAAACCCCCATAAATATAATTAAACCCCAAGTGAATGGTGGTTTGTTCATGCAGCTTAAGTAAAACATTTTGTGTTACAAATTTTGAGTGAGTGCCTTCCATACAGGTTGAACGAGTCAACCGCCGTCTGCTTGTCTGTCTGTCTGCTGACGAGTGTCATGCCTAACGATAGCGATGGGATGATTATCATAATACATCCAAGGGGTCGGTGCACGGGACTGATGGACCCTTTCCACCCGGGTCCGAATCTTAGTGAGTTTCTTTGGTTGAACTCGTGACCAACAAGTATGAACTGGTTCACCGAGTAGTGAGTGACAAGTTGATTCTACTGTCAAGTGTAATTTGCTGCGAGAAGTATTTTGCACCCACAAAAGGAGTTTGGTTATTTACTTACTGTATAATTTCTTCCAAGTAAACGATCAGTAGTTCACCGGTGATCCGGAAGAAAACTGTGGATTAACAAACATCTTGTGCTATTTTGATCGATAAAATGAGTACGCAATCAGGTATTAATTATGATCTGTTACAATCGCGCGCTCTCGCTTTCTCTCACTGTCTCTACCAGAAGTCCCCCAATTGGAATTGGTAAAACCGAAAATCAGTCCGCGGAGCGGAGGATCGCAAGAAGAGTTTGAACAAATTTATGAAACGAATCGAAACAGACTAGAGGTGAGTCTCTTCGTATCTCTTTATGGCTGTTGGTAACTGACTTGTTTAATAATGCTCAACCTGTGTCATAAACAAATGAATCAAACAGTAACTCGAACTCCAGCTGACATGGGACGATTTTTCGTAGAACCACAGTCCTGAAACCAAGCTGTTCACAGAGTAGCCAAAGGTTGCACACATACAGACATTTTGCATGCCATTCTTCAAACAGTATTAAGTGCACCATCATTGCCGTGATTTATTCTACTGTTTGAAACCTCGCGAAAGTGTATGCTGAATAGAACAACCGGGGGATTCAAACCGAGGCACTAAAGATTATTGATCCAGCTCGCTATGCACGCGGTTATCGCGAGTCGACATAAGCAGCTTGCTTCACGCCAACACAAAGCACTCACACAGGTAGTCCAGCACGCTTGAACCGCTTGCCGATCGAGGTCGCTAGGTATGGTATGTGCTTTGCGCCGTCAAAACGCAAAGTGCTTGTGCTGTATTCACTCTCTGTGGTGATCAACTGGAAGTATTTGAGAGCTTCAAGTAAATCCGGAGCTTGATCGCAGATGTTAGTATTAGGGAAGAGATCACGTCACGAATAGCAAAAGCTTGAACAGCTTTCGCCAACCTGCGACACCTGCGGCGCCGCCGTGAAATCCGACTGTCCCTAAAGGGAAGCGTGTGCACCGCCACGGTTCGTATCGTTATACGTTTCGGTTGCGAGATCTGGCCTCTTCGCGTTCTGGATGCTAATCGACTTTATGTATTCGACCAGCGATGTCTCTGAAGCATTGGTAGTGTCTGGTTAGAATATCGGGTTGGCAATGACGAGGTTCGTCGTCGTGTGTTGGGTGTGGATAGTCGTTCTCTAACAGAAGTAATCGCTCTACACCGTAACCGTTGGCTTGGTCACGTACTGCGTATGCCTGCCCATCGACTACCTCTCCGTGCTTTCTTTGCAGGTGCCGGGCAAGGCTGGAAGAAGTGCGGAGGCTGTCAGATCATGACATGGTGTGGAGGTATGAAAAAAGCTGGCCTCAGCTTTAAGTTTAGTTGGTGCAGCCCGCCTTCCAGGTTGGGGCCCCTGAGGGCTGAGGATTGTTGTTGATTGGTGACGCTAAGAGCTATGACCCAGAAGTTAGTGGCGTGAATGCTGTACGGTTTGCCTGTTAAAGTCCAGTGCCCCATCAAAAAGATAAACTAACACACAAAAATTTCAAAAGGTGGATGGGGAAACACAAAAAACTGTTTTTCCATTCATTTGGAGTTTTCCGTTTTAACAGCTTCGCCTTTTTTACTATGTGCTCTATCTCAAGCCCCCATCCGGTTATTGTTATTGTTGTTGCGGCGTTGGCACCATACTTTTCCGCGAGTCGGTTTTATATATATAAATATATATATATATGTATATATATGTATATATGTATATATATATATGTGTATATATATATATGTTTATAAAGCACTCATCTGTTAACGACTCAGCGCTTACTAGACTTCAACAGATGATGAGCGAATGTGTGATACATACCATCTCGGCTGGATTGCAGTACAAGTACTGAATAAACTCGCGTAACACTGATTTTCATTGCAATTTGTTCCTCTCAACGCTTAATGTTTTGAGCGTTATTCACCGGATTGAGGGTCGACTTCTATGTTTCTTAGAATGCATTTTTAGTTCAGAGAGTATCAAGCTTGGATTAGCCCATTCGATTGTTCCCAGGCACCAGGCACTCTTGATGGTCTTCGGTGTGGGTTTCACTCCTTGGGAGATCGTTAATTCCCCACTGTTTGTACGCATTTAAATGCGATGAGGGAAGTAAAGTGAGTATTGTGTAAGCACAAAATTTATCAATTTACTCAAGCTAGAAAAGTTTTAACTTAATCGATTTATTGAGTGTGCACCGAATGAAAAATATAGGCTGTTTAGAATACGTATATTGACCAGAATAAACACGTTCAACAAACAGAAAGCCTTCATTAAGAGGAATGAACTTCCGTGCTGGTTTCAATATTTAAATGTTTTCAATTCTGAGCTCTAGCATTCAAACTACTACAAATTTTATCACGACACTCAAGATCATGCGCAAATTTAAACGGTGATCATGAGAGAACGAAGAATTTCGCAGTGGGTAGACAAAGTTTGGAATAAATACTTTCCACCCATAGCTATCGGTTTACGCGTGTATGATTCTGGAAACTGAAGCTGATTTTCAAAATGAGAGTCATGATGTACGCGTTCGATCCATACTTGTACTCCTTAAGTGGAGATATGCGTTTACAGAGTGCGAATCATTTTCATTTGAAATATATCAAGATATTTGTTTTTGTTTAATTTTATTTTTCGAGACGAGTCAATGAATCCCAAACAACATGGAGACCTGAAAATACCATGCGGCTGTTTCGTCCTCGCTTGAAATTTATCTACAGTTTCGTACATGCGGGGGGGGGGGGGGCGGCTTTTCAAGACGAACTCAGCTATCAAATATGAAACTTCTCTGTAGGTTTCTTTTAGGATTGAGCAGAGAGTTTGACCCCGATAAAGGCAGATTGAGTTGCACAGATTGGTTGAAACTATTCCTCGTTCAGAGGATTCTCGCTTGAGAGAATGACCGTCGTGCTATATGCGCCCCCTCCTCCTGGGTCATACGATAAGGCACCAAACAAAAGAGCACATTCACAAGGTAGATGCAGCCGGGATTAACTGAACTAATGCTTCCAATTGAATTGTTAATTATTTATAATTATAATTATTATAATTATAATCATTATAATTAATTATAGTTATAATTATTATAAATAATTATTATAATTATAATTGTAATTAATTATATTCTGTGTGCACTTCATGCACAGTGCAACTATGGTGCTTTATACCTCAGAGATCAACCGAAAAGAACGCGTCATTGCAGAAAAAGAAAGAGAGCAAGGAGACACTGTTTGTTGAACCGCTGACTGCGGCGAAAAATTCATTGATAAATTCGCAAACAAGGTAGGGTATCCAAGACTTCTGAATATGCGGATGTATCGGATGACGTGAATTGGTGATTGGAGCG